TTTTCCTTCAAACACAATGGAGTGTTAACACTTAATTAAGATTTTTGTTTCTGTTGATCTACTTTTAACTTTTCTCAACATTTTGAAGAATACTTTTTTAATCCTCCATAGGTCCATTCCTTATTTCTACTTGATTATAATATATGAGTTACTGTAAATAGTATATAGTTTAGACGCCATTTTTGCGGCCGGATGGCCGAGAGGTCAAGGTGGCAGCCTACCGCTCTGCGGGACCCGGGTTCGAATCCGAACGGATCGAATAAACCCCAGGAATTTTTCGGGGGTGGTCCGTTCGGATATGTCGGGCCCCGTCCCTCACCACCCGGCAGCCCCATTGTGGACCTGGCCGAATCCATAATGGGCTTGCAAAAAGAGGCCTTCTTAGTGCCCACAGGGCGGAAAGAGTTAAAAAAGACACTATTTTAATTTAAAAATTAATAGTTAATGAGACTCGTTCTTGTTAGTTTGGAAATAGGACAAATAAAATAATAATAACTTTTTCAAGGTTATAAGTTATTATTATTAGGTTATATTACAAGCTCTTTTCTCGTCATTCTTCAACAGTAATCTTGCATAAGTTTGATATATGACACCCTATACTGTTATTCACTAGGGTACAACTAATTATTATAATTTTAAAATAGCTTTGTAATACAGTAGAGAGTCGTTTATCCGAACGTCGGTTATCCGAAAGAATTCCAAGTATAAAGTATAAAGTCGGCCTAAAGTATAATTTTTATTTGTTTTTATATTTTTCAATGTATATATTTCGTTTGTAAAACATAAAGAAATCATTTTTAACCATACAATAGTCACGATTATTATTTTAAAAAGTTTACGTTAAGCTTAACATCGACGAAAATTCAACGCGAAGCGACACGCAACGGAGAAAAATTTCAACACGGGATAGGTTAATATATTTTTTCGTACATAATCGGTTATCCGAAAATTAAGTTATCCGAACAACCCCAGTCCCCAATTGATTCGGATAAACGACGCTCTACTGTATAATAATTTAAATAAACATGTTACGTAACACTTAACCGAAAGGAATTTTGTATAGCTTCAAACGAGTTCAAATTTAAAATCATATATTTGTCAACACGTAATAACATACATGATTTGAAATTCTGAGTGATTTTGTATGTAATTTTTTAACAATTTTATTTGTTTTATTATGAAAAAATATTCTGTAAAAGATTATATTAATGGCATATGACATATGAATCGTACCCTAAAAACTATAATTTAATAATTTTAAAAATACTATATACAGTGGTGCCTCGTATAACGTACGCCTCGAATAACGGACTTGCTGCGAACAACGGACTTTCCGTTCGGCAGTTACGTGAGACGAACAATGGACTTTCTTCGAACAAGTGCGAATGATGTTTCCACTCTTTTGCCGTTGCCAATGACAATCTGCTATTTTTAGGATATATTAGTATTATTAGAATGTATTATTAGTATATCTGAAGTAGAAATGTAATGTAATATATGTTGATGATTTAAATAAACATTAAATGTAATGTAGTATATGTTGACGATTCAAATAAACGAAATGTAATTGTGTAGATGCCGAGGTGGCGGGACGAAAAGAGGTTGTAAAAAACAAACGGAGCGAGAGTAGCTCGTAGAAGTGTTTAGTGATCTTAATTAATAAAGAATTATTCGTATCATATAATCTGGCAAGTTAAGTCATTTATAATGCATCATGGCTTCTAAAAAAACAGAAAGGTGATTTCAATTGAAACAAAGCAAGAAATCATCAGGAGTGAAAGTTGACAAAAACTTTCTTGTCGAATGGGGAGAGGTTCAGGAGTTTACCAACACTCATTATCCAAACAGAGCTGAGGCCAACAGGATCAATGATCTCTACGATGACACCTTTGTCCGTCATTTCCGACAGGTGTTAAAGAAGAAAGAGAAACAGACCACCTTGGTCATGTTTTTCAAGAAGCCAGCGGGCAAAAAACAAAGGATGGAACAAGAGAAGTTGACCCTGCAAGTTCCGGTAGCCTCTCCTGAATCTGACTCCGATTAAAAAACAATAAAAAAAGACCCGCTGCAATGTGTAAAAAGTCTGTATCTGTATGAATGTGTAAAGAAAGTGTTCTTCCACCTCCTCCTCACAACATCTGACTACCCGGCATAATTGGTGTCTGCTCCATTTTCATTTTTTATGGTACAGTACGGTTATTTTATGCTGCGGAACGAATTATATGTTTTAACATGTATTTCTATGGGAAAATGCGTTTCGTATAACGGACGTTTCACTTAACGGACGTGCACCTGGAACGGATTAAGTACGTTGTACGAGGCACCACTGTATATAATTTTCTCGTATTTTAAGAACAGTATATTAATTATTATATTTTTCTGAAATGTTTGTTTAGATCTAGTTATTATTATTTTTTATTTTTTTGAAATATATATTTATAATTTACTAGAAATTCTCCAGTCAAGCGTATTTTTATGAGAAAGTAGAGATTGAAGAATTGAGAAGAGCTATAACTCGAGCTTGACGTTGTGATGCTGTTTCTCCAGCCCTTGACAAAGCCATTCTTACTCGCTGTTTCTCTAGTCGTACTTCACGAAGGGTCTGTTGTTCTTATTCTTTTAGATCTAGAATTTACTTGGCCAATTTTATTCTTACACTTTCCCTTAGGCAAATTTTTGCCGACAAAATAACCAATCTTTCTTAATTCCGCGTACTGTAGGTTATGTTAGTTAGATTTGCGATAACACTTTCTAAATAACGGGCTCGCTAGATCGTTAATTCCAATTAGATAATAGAACGTCACGTGGTCACTACGGAAACATTAAAAATGACTTTGTTGTAGAAATGACACGATGCGGCTATCATTTTTTAAAGTTTAAATTTTAAATTTAATGAAATAAGTTAAAAATATGTCATTTGCCAAAATATGTAAAAATGCAACTTAAGAAAAATTTCCTGGACAAGCATGAATTCACGTGGTCACTGACGTCATTGCAACGTAAGTGCGATCACCGATCCGAAATCTATAAAACGTTTATTCTATATCTAATATTTAAAGTAGTTTATACTTTCCGTCAGAGCATAAATATAACCAAAATTTCATTAGGATTGGACAAAAATTGCAGGAATTATAAGGAATTCGCACAGACGACGGCTTTTATATTGTTAATTCTTGTGAATCATTGCATATACGTAATAATACGTTTTGTATGGCACATTTTATTGAAATTAGAATGATGTTTTTGAAAAATGCAAGAAACTTCGGATATTTATTACAAGAATATTACAACTGCGAAGAGGAACCCTCATACTTGTAATGTTTAGTTCGCGTGAGCTCTGATCTCTCGACTGTATCTTACTTTAGGTTCTGTAGCGGACAAATCTAGCTGAGTTTAAAAAACCCAATCGACTTACAGTTAGTAGAAATAAACAATACGAAAGGATTACTACTGATAATGACGTTTAATGACAGTTCAAAAACAATAATATTCAAACAGGTTACAAAACAAAGTCGTAATAGAAATAACAGTAAATCTATTAATGCAATAATAAAAAAAAACACAGTTATAATAGACAAATATACATTACGCAGATTACTAATCTGGATGTTTTCAATACACTTACATTTTTAGAATGATTTTCACTGTCACTGTCAATCACTTCTAAATCATCGATAAGTAAAGAAAACTTCCAAGAATTCCAAGATAAATAAGCAAAAATAAATAAATAAATGAATATTTCTATGAATAATAGAAAGAAAGTCATAGAAAGTCATTTTTTTGTTTTCTTAATTAAAATACATTTTTTCTTTTTTTAATTATTTAAAATCAATTTAATTTACACACAATGGTTTACGTCTCAGAGGAAAGAGAATCATAGAACTAATAATTTAATGTTATATAAATCGTAAGTTTCTACTCAAATATATATATATATTATTAATAATTTAAACTGGAAAATAGATTTAATTATTTTGCAAAATGTTTCTATATTATAAAAAGTATTTTGTATTATAAAATAAAATAAAGCAAACACTTAAAAAAATGATGTCGACTGATAAGGCTGATAAGCGAAATACATATGGATAAAAAAAGAAAAATAAAGTGAGAAATACTAAATAGGTTTCTAGTTCATCTCTGTTTTTAATTCTATCGATATCGGATTTAAAAAAGTGAATTTCACTTGTTATTTCTTAAAAAATTAAAAAAAAATTGTAGAATTTATTATTTGAATATTTTAAAAATTACAATATTTAAAAATTATTTTAATTCTATAATCAATACATCAATTAGACAGATCTACGATATTTAAGTGCTCGATGTAACGGAAGTTGGGGCAAGTTGACGAATGTTTCATAAGTTACTTTTTAATGTGTAATATTAAAAGCACTTATCTATACTTTGATATAGGCCTAAATATCTTAATTACTTGCGTACATGACAGGGATGACAGAAGTTAAGTTCAAAATACTACCCGTTTCGTCATTTTACTCCTAAAGGCTTTATATTATTTTTTATTTTCAATCTTTCCAGCAAAGCATTCGTTAAATTTTGTAAAAAAAAGCAATCTTTTATAACTTAAGTTAGTTTACATAGATAACATCTGAAGTTTTAATTGTGCTGATTATAGATTTATATTTATATTTTATAAGAAAATAAAATACAGTAGTAATATTTTAATTATTTGGTTAAAAACATGTTTAATATTAAATCATATAAAATATGAAACGCATTTCCAATATTTATAAACAAGAATAGATTTAAAACAAAATATTTTAACTAACCTTAAGTTATACAGACAAAAAAGACATTTATACATAGAAGATTTTAATTAACTTTACACAACTTATAGATAATTTATTGTATAAGTATTATAAACCTCTGGCACGGATGATAAATTACATTTAAGGAATAAAATAAATGTAAATAAATTTATGAAAGTTTACTAATTAAAGTAAATCTCACAAATAATAATTCATCCTTAATCAAACCAAATTTGGCTAATTGCAATTCATATGACAAATTGTTCTTTTACATATAAATTTCTTGCAATTATTATTTTCTTCTGTGATTCTTTTGATGGTATTTATCTTCTTACTTATCGATTCTAGAAGCAAACTTCTATAAAAAAAAAACTATTTTAAGAATTTATCAAGCTAGAATTCTTCTAAACATCCTGTATTGATGGGCGGACATAGAATTTAATAATAATGTGTAACAAAGTTAAAGAATGGAAGCGTTACATTATCAATGATTGCACATAGTCACACTCGAAATGTTACTTTGAAAATTTCCTGTGTGTAACTATCAGTTAAGTCGTAAACTGTATCCTGTTTATAGAATCCGGCTTAAGGATAAATACGATTTAATTTTTATGAAATTTTGTAGTTGAAACTCCTACGAACAATCCATCTAATTGTATTTTAATAGAAAATCTGGCTGTTATTATTCGCTACGTTTACAAATCCGATATACAAAAACAAATCAGTATTCTTCATATTAGATTCAACTAAAACCCATAAGATTCTTTACAAAAGTAAAAATAGCTTTTAAAAATGAGGACTTAATTGTATCTTATAAATATTATTAGATTTAAAACATTTTAGGTGTCCAATTTTATTTATCCAATTTAAAATTTTTGTTATGAATAAGGCTGGGACATCAAAGTATTAAAAATCATATAAATTATCACTCATATAACTCATAAAAATTATAATATATAATTTTTAGTGTTTTTATACTATAAATTTCATATAGATTATTTTAAATTATTCTTTACATTCAGTTAGATAATGAAGTAACGCATTTCAAATGACGTTTTACTTACTTTTTAAGAGACTCGAATATTTCCAATATTTCTAAACTTCTATTTATGTACACTTTGGCCTTTTCTGGATTTTCACAAGCAAATTTATAAACGCATTCATGATTATCCGTATTTATAGCCAAGAAATAGTTCAAAAAATCGTTAATATCGGGTTTACTTGCACTAATTGATCGTTCTTGCCTCTTCTGATCATCATAATCCGAATCTTTGTTGAAGATATAGTAATATATGGCTCCTATGAGAACAACCTTTGCCACAATCATAAAAATAGCATTAGATAAATTGACAGTGAATACTTTCGAAACGGAATTCTGTCTATATTTTTCTACAGATTGATGCAATGTTACGTCATCATTTACTTTTACACAACTGATAAAAGGCAAAGTGCAGAATAAGAAGAAAAAATAGCATGTCGTATGCGAAATCATTGCTTGTTGCTCTTATCTGAAATGAAAATTTTTTAATTATTTACATAAAAGCTATGGTCTCTATACTGAATATACTTACCTTATACAGCTGGCATTTCTCATTCGGAGTCTGGTCTTTAATATAAACTGAATTAGTAGGTGGTGGAAGTGTTTATATGAATGGGAAAGACTATTGTATGCACTCCATCGCATTTTACTCCTCCCCATACGCATAATCAGTCATGAAGGAAAGCTCGTTATCTCATTTGTAGGTCAATGTGCTATGTTTAAAGAATCCGAAACGGATCCTAAATATCTATAATGAAGCATTTAAATAAATTAAATTATGTAAGAAAAAGTACTTTTAGTGTTAGTTTTACCTTTTATTTTCTTTATTTTAAAGAAACGTATAAAAAATATAGGATAAATCCGCAAATTTTAGCTTTTTTTTTTTAAAAAAAATTACAATACTTATCTTTATTATATTTTAGACACTAATGAATAATTAAACAAGATCTATATATATCTGAACATCCCTTCATTAATGATGCTGTAAATTATATCAATGATGCTAAAATTTTCGTAGAATGGAAATAATAGAAGCATTGTTTTACACTTTTTCAGTTGAATACATAAAAGTTTATCTTATCAGAAAATCAAATTAAGTTATTGTAAAGATAAGATGCAAATGATAAATCTAACATTTAATAATACAATAAAAACATTTTCTTCACTAATGAGTAAACAATCTTTAAATGAAGCTTCAAAGCAAAACCATTTATTACATTGAACAGATAGCAGGGACGGATCTACATAGGGACTAATAGCGCTTAAGTCCTGGGCCCTAAGTGTCAAGAGTCCACGAAAATTGAATAATTATCATAAATTTTTAATACTTTTTCATTAACAATGAGCACTTATCGATATAAAGTTTGTCATTCAACACCATTTCATAAATAAATATATTTCAACTCTGATTTTGATTTTATTATAAGTGATTTTAAATCCCAATTGAAAAATTCATAATCTAACAAAAAAATGAGGCCCCATTGGACTTCAATAAGCCCTAGGCCCCAAAAAACCTAGATCCGCCCCTGACAGACAGCATTATATTATAAATGTATAACGGAAGATGCTTCAAATATTATAATGTATATTTTCCATTAAAGTATTTTTAAACATAATTTGGTCTTACACTTATTTACTTCTCCTTGAAAATATCTTAAACTTTCAAAGAAAATGTTAATTTTCAGAAATTATTTTATTCAAATTCTTCTTTTACTTGTAAAAATTATTTTTTCCGTTATTTATTTTAATATATGACAGATAACGAATTTAATTAATAGGCGTATATTTTATAAGTTATGATTCGTAATTCATGACAAAAATCCCTATGTCAAGAAGAAGAAAATTAAAATAAATTTATTATTTTTATTTTACTATTTTCCTGATATTCTGTAATATTTTTTACTTCTCAAGAATTTTGCCACAAAGGAATATGTGGCAAAATTCTATAACTATACAATAAATCAATATCGTTTATTAGATACTATAATTAATACATTCCCGGTACCGCATTCTATAACTATACAGTCGACCCCCCTATAACACAGTTGATAATTCCGTTTTATATGAATTCTATGTTGTACGAGTCACTTAGATTTTACAAATACGAGTGCCGGGCTGTGAACGGCTCACGTATTTGTAAAATCTAAATGACTCATACAACATGGAATTCATATAAAACGGAATTATCAACAGTGTTACAGGGGTCGACTGTATTAGTAATATCTAGAGTACTAAGAAAGAGTTAGAACTAACTTTTAGATATAGCAAATGTGGATAAATTGATTCATTAAAGATTAATTAGTCTGTAGAAAATTATTTACTGAATATAAAATCTATTTGTTTTATTTCCATTAAAGTTTTTATCATTAAATAAAATCATTTTTTATTTTAATAACATATAATCCATTTTATCTTCACTTGTATATGACTTAAATAAACCCCACATTACTCCTACGCTGTAAACTTTTGCTACTCTATAAAATATTTTAATACGTAAATATATATAATGAATTAAAAATGAATGAAACATGAGTACAGTATTCTGTTTTGGAATTTGATATAGGCGTATAAAGTATTTTCGTGTAATAAGAGTAAACTGTTCTAAATGATTTGAATTTTGAAAAATATTTTAACCTAGCTCAAAGAGTTCTCATTGATCTTTAATTAATTCATATTATAAATGTTATTTAATATTCTTATTGGTTAAACACTATATCACACTTTACGCCTGCTATACATTTTCTATTACGACTGTATAAAATGCTGTATAAAGATTTTGTTTAATTGGTCATACCTTTATGACATTCATATATATCTAATTAAAAACTTCCATTAACGTAAGCGTACTCGAGGAACTTGATCAAAAAAGATGTAAGTTATAATCCAAATTAAAATCGAGATACGCCACAAGATGACAGGAGCTAACAGTCATAAAATCTTAGTAGTATAACTTTTAAAGATCGTTTTAATGTTGCTTTTGTATTTTATATTTTTATATTAAGTTATAAAAAATAATAAAACAGTAATACATTTTTATTGCACACTTTTTTTGAAATTGCAATGATCAGTATCTAACTAAACATAATTCAGATACTTGATAATAAATAAGTAATAAATTTAAAATAATTTTCGTATATTCAAGACTCAAAATGTCATTGGTAACGAGTCATATGTTGTACTCTATAAACTTTTATTACATTTTAGAATGATCATTAAGAATCGTACACTGAATTAGTTCCTAAAATAAGTTCACTTTCTTTTTGCTGCTAGGGATACTACAAACGCGTAGTTTTCCTTATGTTGTAATCGTTTCACATTATGTTGTAATCGTAGCAACTAACTTATTGCTAATACTGCTCTATGAGAAATAATAAACTAGTAGGGTCAATTTTATGCCATTGATTGCGTACCCAGATTGCAATATCTGTTACCTGTACTGTATTAAAAAGATAATGACACGTAAATGAAAGTTCCTAATAAATTTAAAATTTTAAATAAAACATTTCTCCGTTGAAAAGAATATTATACTTTGGAACCGACCGACATAAAATGACATTTAAATCTGAAATATATAGGCCTAAACCGTTCTCCACTGTGTTTTAGATTTTAATCAATACAGCGAAACTTGCTAATGCAGCTCATGCAGAAAGAGGGATGTAGGTGTTCTTGAATGAAATCACTTAAGTATAAATAAAAAAATAGCCTAAATATAGGAAATTTAATATGAAATACAAAAAACAACAAACAAAACAATTGAATAAACAGTGTTCTAAACAAAAACTCAGAGAAGAAAAAAACAATGCAACAAATTCAATTTTTTGTAAGAAACTCATCAATCCTGGATTGCTTTATAACTGTTCTTTTTTTTAATTTCATCGGCTACAATTTTTTGCTTGATATATTGGCAAAAAATTCTCAAGAGTTATTGAAAAAAGAAAGAAGAAAATGAACTTCACCTTCAAAATAAAAATTCACGCAAAGAAACTTAACAATAAGCAAACAAGACATGAAACTAACTCACTTTACTAGACAAAGTCAAAATACTAAACACTCTGACAAGAGAAACTTCAATAGTGACCTGATGATATAGTGATTCCTATTGTAATTGAAATTTTTAAATTTCACCTAATGCGGCTGCTAATGCTTGCACAGCGTTGCTAATGTAGTTTACAAAATATGATTATTTGTAATTTTTCAAACTGCCATTTCTTTTATTCAAGCTTCCAAAATAAATACAGTAAGCCTATTTCAAAAAATTATGGGAAATTTAGAGTTTAAACCCCTTATCCACAAAGTACAATGTTTCAAATATAAAATATTTGCAATGTTATAGCTACAAATTGAATTATATTGTTTAAAATAGTTTAGTTTTTATGTTTCTTTTTAATGGACACTTTACCCAAGATGATTCCTTATCTTAGCAGGGCCCGCTCTAGGGGCGGACAACCCGAACATTTGTCCGGGGCGCCAAAGTTTAGGGGCGCCATTTTGGCTGTAAGTGTGATAAAAATATTGACGTTGAATACTCAATTAATAGAAAATTTTACGTATCGACTTTTTCGTTCTCTAAAAATTTACAGTGCGTAGCGTATTTATATTGTTTATGTCTAAAAGTTAAAAATATTTACCCTATTATTGAAAAATTAACGCAGAATTTGTAAAAAACGATGCTTGAGCTTGTTTGAACATGCATAGAGGAGATCGGGGCAACTTCAGCAAGCGGGGCAAGTTTGTCAAGCGCTTTTTTTAAAAAAACAAATTAAAAGGAGACTTTGGTTATAGGTTAGGCAGTTGAGTTTTATTAGTGGCTTGTTGAGTGTAGTGTTTTTATTGTTCTCCAACAAGCGTAGTTGAATTATCAAGCAAATTTTCATTTTCGTTCAATTCCATATAATATTTTTTTTCCATTTATATTGAATTGGCAGGTTTTGTTATAATTCCATGATAACGAAAGTTACTTTTCCTGTTAGAAGGATGTAACTTCAACTTATTCACGTGGCCAGATCGTGGCTTGGCATTCTGTTCTCAGGGTTGTACTTAATGTTTCGAAATCATGACTAGCGGGGTAAGATCGGCAACATAAAGCCACATTAGAAGCAAAGGATAAAAATCAAACAGATGATAAATGAAAACATGTTTGCATTTGTTATTCATGTATATATGTCTTTGAACTTGCATTTCGTTGTAATAATATTAAATGGGTGTTGGATTTGTATTTCTTTGTTTTAATAGTGAATTCCAACTTATACATTGTTAATAACATAATTTTATATACGTGCCTATCTTGCCCCATTACTGTTGCCCCTATACCAGGGGCAACTTTAATAAAAATAATTAAAATAATTACAACTTTACAAAAAGAGAGAAGTTGCCGATCTTGCCCCTATACCCGGGGCAACTTCGTCAATTTCTCTCTTCTTGTAAAGTTGTAATTATTTTAATTATTTTTATTT